GGCACTTAGAGATAGGTTTAGCAGTGGACTTGGCAGTGCTGGGGTTATGGTTGGACTTGATGATCTTAGAGGTCTTTTCTGACCTAAATGATTCTATGATAATAAGAAGGTAGATACCAGAGGAAAAGAGCCCAACTCCCATGAGTTGGAATTACCTTAGTTATAGGAATCTTAACCCAGGCCTGACACTTGTTAGTGAGCACCCTAGCTGATAGTCTATTATATTTGGTGAAACCAGTGCCAGTCTTTTGATGGACAGTGAATGTACACTAGACTTAATGCTTCAGCTATGTGTAACTCAGTGTTAACACAGTGATTCTTTCAGCTACTCTTCTGGGTACTTGAGAGTGTGTAGGGACACTGCCAGTTCCAAATGTGGTTGCCAAAATACTTCACTGTTTCCAGTGGTCATGGGTGAGTGACTTCTTTTTCCAAACCTAACTCACTTCTTGGGGGACTTGAGCAATGTCTAGCATTTAAGTAGTATTTAGGCACAGGCTAAATGTATTAGGTTACCACTGTCATTTGCAAGTGTGAAGGTATCACTGTATACCATGAAAACGGGAATTGGATTACATTCTGTATAAATACTTTTCTTTCATTTTAAGATTTTTCCATGCTGATAGTTAATTTCTTAATTGGATAAAGACAGTTCTTTCATGACTTTTATTATTTAATCTCTATCATAGCTAAATAACTAAATAGATTAATAGGCGTAGGAAAGAATTACTATGTGTTTACGCATCTCAGTGCTGTGTAGTTTAAAAAAAGAAGATGAGAAATATCTTTCTTGCTATTTTCATTTTCTCTGAATCTCCTTACAAAAGACTTTTTGAGGCATAAGTATGAACATTGTTAGCTATCCATGACTGATCAACCGATGTTGTCTGTGGCAGAAGTTCACAAGCTGTGCCTCAGCAAAGCAGCGTGCAAACACTTCCTGATGAGCTGTTATTAAGAGATTTTTCTACCCCAGCATTAACAAAATTGAAAAATAAATTTAGAAGCCTGACCCAGGCTAAATGTTTTTCTGCATTATCAGCTAACCCTACTGCAGCCATGGCTCGGTTGTGGTTAATTGGGTGATCTGCTCAGAAAACTGGGCTGAAAAGTTCTGTGGCTAATATGACTTAAATGCAAGAAGTTTTATGATGGAGAACACATTCATCTGTGTAGTTACTACCTTTCCCTATGTTTAGTGCTCTTTGCGGTTTATTATTTCCCTTTTTATATGATTTCTCCCTAGTTGTGATTAGAATCATTATCAGAACAAACTAGATATTTGGCAATGTCCAAACTTTCCAATATTTATCTTATTTAGCAATGTGGTATTCCCCTTGTTACTTCCCACTTAAGGAATTAGCTGAACATTAACCAGCTGATTGAGTATCTTTGATAGCATACTATGAAAGAGATGCTAAACCACTCATTCAGCAGCCTTTGTCAACAGTTCAGATGGTAAATGAAGAATATAAATGAAAAGGATGTTGTTTTACATCTGAAAGGATAGCCTTCAACATATTGAATGGCTAGCTAAGCTTCTAAAATGCTATTTCCTGAAATTCTAGATTGTGGCTTACAAGCAATAGTGCAAATCATTTTCAGAATTATCAAATGTGTATATTGGAAGTCTTCAGTTTTAATTATCCTTTTCTGTTTAATCATGATTTTTTCCCTTTCACAAACTGAAATATGCAGTATTTAAGAGATTACAGAATCTAAGAAAAATTAAATAATTTTTGAGCCGAAAATAGGAAGAGGCCCTTTGATATACGGGTCTGCCTCCTGTCTGCCATAGTTCTTCAATTTAATGCTAATATATGATGTGTGATTAAATCCTGAGGGCAGCTTTGAAAAATTCTATGTTAACTTAGAGGTAATTATATATGGAAATCTGTTGTGAGTGCTGTGTGGGTAACTTTTATTTATGCTTAGTAAAGTATGAAACTGGCATCTCTATTTATAAAGCTATTGTTTAAGGTTCCCTTTTGTTCTGTCCTTTATTTAATTCAGTCTATTCAAGTTTTGCTCAAACAGCAGGTTTGGTCATTAGTAAATAACGCAAAAATAGCTTAGCTCTTTGATCTGTACCGTCTTTACGTACAATGTGCCTGAAGGCATGTGTAATATAAATATTTTGTAAGTGCAAATAAATAAAGGATTTTGGATAATAGACATGTTGAAACTAGCAGTATTTTGAAGATTTTCAGTTCCTGTTGGATGACACAGGGAGCAAATAAGCAAGAAAAACCTCAAATCTCAAAATTTACAAATCATTTAGTTTTAATAGAAGTTATAAAATTACTATGTTTTTAAATCCCATTATTTACATAGGGACGAAGTGTATTCTTATTGATTTGCATAATTATAAAATGTGTAGTGATTTTAAGCTTCATGTATGGACTGTCTTTAGATTCAGAAGTATAAAAATTTACAAGGCACATCAAAGTTTTGGCTTTATTTGGAGTGTGCTACTGCATTTATTAATATTACTCAGTTGATTGGTGAAAAAGTATTTCTAGTTAAAGAGTTTTGTTACTTTTTGATTATTTGATTGTTAAGTTAAACATCATCCTATGACTGTGACATAAGTCAGAGAGCAAATCCCATCTTTACTGACTAGTCAATATTGAGGAGCCCAATAAAGAAATTGCCAGTTTCTGGTGTGAACTCCATCTCCAAGGAACACACCAGGGCAACTGAGTGTAACTGCTAGTGTACTGTTTAACTCTGAAAGTAGAACTACAGGGTTTTTTATTATTGAAAGCAGTGTAGTTAATTTTGGAACTGGTTGTCATTAACTTCTTACCTTTTTCCAACAATTTAGTTCCAAAAATCGTGAATGAAGAGATAGTCTGTCAACTTGAGGTCCCCTTTGGTTTCCTCTGTGATTCTGGATCTCATATGAGGAGAGGAACGTGCTTCTCTGACCACTTCAAGGTAGTTCTTAAACAGCTTTGACCTCTTATACACTTCAAGGAGGTCTCAAAGATCCTTTCAGAGACTAGCAGCATCTTTGTTGCATCTCCCCAGAGCTCAGATTGTTCATATATGTATAAATGCAAAGCTTTGCATAGCATAAGATACAGAGGTTTTGTGAGAAAGACTGTAAATTATTCTCAATTCTTCACACAGGGAATTATGCTCAGTAATTATTTGTACAAATATTAAAATAGAAGTATTTCTAAATGCCAAGTTTGTTGAAGCAAGAGACATTCTCAAAAAACATGTTGCACATTGAATATGCACTTTGCTTGGAATATTTTTGATTTCTTTCTGTGTATGTCCTGTGTATGCCTGCAGGTAGTTTAGGGAAAGCCGAATGCAGACTCCACTGTAATAGCCAGTTCTGGCTTGTCTCATCCTTAACAGAGAATTTTGACTGTCTCAGTTACCTGGATCAGAAAACTGGTCTGTCTGAAAAATACTACAGGAAGATAAAAATGGAAGTTGTCTGCCTGCTATAATTGACTAAACCATCTCACTAGTGCCAGTGAAAGAAGTAGGGAGAGGAGGCTGTATTGTCTTTTCCACCAACAGCCCACAGTGGTTTTAACTAAAGGAGTCAGGAAGCTGTATTCTAAGAAAGCAAATGACCAGTTTTACTTGTAGAATAGATACAAGATTTAAGAGATACAAGAGAGATTACTCTTGTAATCTAGAAGCTCTTTTAGGTAAAGTGCCTGGCACTGTTCTGTGAAGTTTATGTAGTTCCTGACCAATCTTTATTATCACACTTTCTTAGGCCCTCTAGGTTACTATAATGATACTTAATCTTTTTAAGCTGTGATTTTTTTCTTGTTTTCCTAGAAAGTTTGTCTATGTTGTTTCATTTGTTTTGGTCTTAAATTGAAAGGTTGGATAGTGTATGAAGGTAAGGCTAGAGACTTGGTGTTTTTTACCTGTCACAGGGAACAGACGGGACTGAAATGTATCTTAGTTTGTGTAAAAGCAAAGCCTGATCTCAGTCCTTCTCTCATGGAGGCTGAGGAGCCTGCACAGGCAAATTCCATACTTGCCATAAATGTACACCATCATCCGCTTTTGCTGACAGCTTCAGTCAGCTGGCACAAGAAGCTTCACAACCTGAGGCAACTTTTGATTATCCATAGCTTAAATGCTTTAACATTCTGGAAATAAAGATCTGCAGCTTAAACTTGGCACAGGACTCTGTGGGAAACCAGTGAAGCACAAGGAACAACAGAAGGCAAGGAAACTCAGGCAGTGTAGCCAAGGAGACACCCAGGTGGATCACAGCTAGTTATCTGGTACTTTTCTGGCTGAGTCTCGCAAGCCTGTGTGAGTACATTGCATTGCTGTTTCTAATCGGATTTAGGAGGGGAATGTAGTGCCAAAGCCAAGCTGGCACTTCTGAGATGCCAGGGCACGTCACTTGGAGAAAATGTACTGTAGTGCTGCTTGAGATCTCAGTATTTGGGCAGAGTCCAGTTGTGGGTTTGCTTACAGTTTAAGTACTCAAATGAAATGGCTATGATTATGAACTTTCTCCTGTCATCTTGCTGTGGTCTGGTATATTTTTGTTCCTTATCAACTATTATGGCATTAGAGATGCAGATTTATCGAATACATTGTCAGGTGAATGACAAGCATTTAGTCAACTTTATTTTGTTGATAAAGAATATTGCAAAGTTTATATCTTTCTCTTCTTTAGTATCTGAAAATTTTACAAAAACTCAAACTAAGCAGGATCCTGTGTAAGTAATCTGATGGCTTGATACCAAGTTTTCTATTATTACTTTAAAGATTCTAAAGATAGTTGCTTCTAGAAAAGATCAGTTAAGTGCATTTCCATGGATTCATGCCATGAAGATTATAGTACAGAGTTATGAGTATGTTCTTGTGAAAGATAAAGAGTATTGTTGCATCTAGATTACATATATGAAAAACCTTACTACAATCTCTAGTTACTTCACGTTTGGCAATTGCTTACTTGGGGTTTCTTGTCTTTTTTTTTTTCTTTTTTTTTTTTTACTAAATAGACCTGGATTATCACTTGCTTTTGTCTTCAACTACTCCTACTTAATCCTCTTGTCAAAGCCCAGAGTTCCTGCGGGAATCCAGTCACAGATGATGTGAATGACATTGCAAAATTGGTAAGTAGCTTTTATTTTAAATTATTCTTTATGTTAAACAATAATCAGTGTCTAATGACACTTATATTTCTAAGTGAAGTTAGTAAATCTATATTAGAACCAGTGGAATATTAAAAGAAAAACTAATCCATCAACATCTGTCACTTGAACAAAACCTTTTTTGCGAAGATTTGAGAATAGTTTCAGTGTTCATTGAAGCAATGACCTTGATCGAGATGGAGTATATGTACATATGTGGTTTCCTGACTCCAAACTTCAATAAAAATTGTCAACAGCCTTCATTTCATCAAACATTCTTTCAAATCAGATTGTTTCCCATGCAGATGAAAGATGATTGTCTGTGTGCTACTGATTTGTGTGGAGCAGACTGGTGGCAAACTAGCTGAATTGAACCAGAAGTCTTCATGTGTATGAGACTAGTGCCATATGTAAAACTAGCGTGATGTTAGACAACATTGTAGCAATCAAGACAATAATGATTGAACAGCTTTTGCAGCCTTTAGGTGTGAGTGGGTTACACTCGTTAAGTGTTTCTCTACTTACTGTACCCAGAAGTTTAAGTCTAAAGGACTCACAGCTTCATATAAGAACTGAATTCATTTAAGTAGATTTTAACTACTTAATTGACTGCTATATTAACCTGAAAACTACATCTTCTTTTGATGTCAGTTGGTATTTAACTCCACTGAAGTCAGCAATTATGCTAACTTGCAGTAGTGTGGGATATAATACCAAAGTTTTTAAGAAATAACACAACTGAACACTTAAAAAGCATATCTTTACCTACATATTGAATCTAGCTGAAAATTTTTGTTTCATTATGGGAAAAGAGTTGTGACACCAGTGTTATTATTATCAAACACTTAAATTGGAGTCCCTAGCATTTGTTGCCAACTCAGTGTTCTTAACTCTTCTTCTTTGAGCATTTTAATACATATTGGCACATACTGTAAATCTCTAGGGGTGCTCTATAGTCTTACTCAAATGCTTAGTGCTTCAAATTAGTCTCTTTAGGCAGAATTTTGAAGTATTGGCATATTTATTCCAGATAATATTTCATCTGTTAGAAGAGTATTAAGCTTTGATGTAAACCTGCTGAAAGCATGCAAGAACAAAAGAGCTGTGAGAGCTGGTGAAATTGTGCAGAGTTATCAATAACTTTTTGTCACTTAAGTGTCCTCAGAGCAAGTGCTTTAACTTTCCCTTTAGTACAATTTAAACTTGAGAATATATAAATACAGGTTACAAAAAATTTGCATGCAGCTTGAACAATCATGCTTTGCTTTTGAGATAAATTCTAAAGGAAACCTAATCTTATAAAAATTAGATTAGTCTTTAATTTGACTGTGGTTTTCCATATCATCTTCCTACATCGTCTTCTGGAGTCCAGCAGCTTCACTTCCTGCACATATCCCCACAGCATTATTTTTCCATACCCCTACCCTCCACATGCCCTCTTAGTTCTCCACATGCAGCAAGGTGACTAGTTCCCTCCCATGCCCCCAAGGCATGATGCCTACCAGTGCTTGCTGGATTTATAGCCCCTTTTGCTTGGGCTGCTGGCTGGGCAGAAAGGACTTTGTGTGGTGATTGTTATGATGTATGTGCTGCATATCCTGCAAGAAAACCACTGCCAACTGTCCAGGTTGCACTGTGCTTCTGCTGCCAAGCCTGAGCAGAGTGGGGTAGGGCTGAGCTCCTCCAGATGCTCCTCCATGAGGATGCTATATGGTCCTTCTCCTGACTTAGACCCATACCTTTCAGATCTTCCTACCAAATGCAAAATTTGGGTGAAGTTAACTAGGAAGTTCAAAGGTATTTTGGATTGGAGAAAGAACAGAGAGATACAGGAAATACAAAGCCCAGACACATGGATTGTCTTTGTTTTGAGTTGTTAGAGAAGGTTTTGAGGAAATACTGTCTCCCTGTTTTGTCTGTATTAATATTTGCAGAAACAATTTCATTAAAGCCACTTGAGAATTGAAAGGATAAGGTGAAAATAAGTTTAGTACCTTCAGTTTAGTATAAGAACTCTTTATTTCAATTAATGTGACTATAGTACATATTGGTCATTCTCTTTTGAAATTCTACACCATGAAAACTTGACATGGAGAATGAAATGAAAAAAATATATAATAAGATTTAAAATACTTTTAAAACAAAACATCATTAGCCAACAGTGTAAATACAAGAAGGGAGAAGTACACAGAGAATACTGACTGATCACATTACTTTGCAGCAAGTACAATATTTTATGCTATATGGACTGTTTCCTTAGTACATATAATAGGGACTCTAACATTGTATTGCTTAAAAACATGGTTCAGGAGACCCTACAACTCATGTTAATTACAATAAAAGTTTTGTACCACTTCTGCTTTTCGAAACACAATATACTCATTGAATTAAGGAATGATATTCTGATGATGTGTATCTTCAAAATTAGATATTGCACCCATATGTGGTTGGGTTCTTTATTAGAATCCTAGAATCATTAAGATTGGAAAAGATCTCTTAAGATAGAGTCCAACCACCAACTGAACACCACCAAGCCAACTAAACCATAACACTTAATGTGGTATCCAGATGTTTCTTGAACACCTCCAGGAATGGCGACTCCACCACTTCACTGGGCAGCCCGTTCCAATGCCTAACCACTCTTTCAGTGAAAAAATTCTTCCTTATGTCCAACCTGAACTTCCCCCTGCGCAGCTTGAGACCATTTCCTCTTGTCCTGGGAGTTGTCTGGGAGAAGAATCTGACCCCCATCTTGCTACAACCTCTTTTCAAGTAGTTGTAGAGAGCGATAAGGTTTCTCCTGAGCCTCCTTTTCTCCAGGCTAAACAAACTCTCAGACACTTCTCATACGACTTACTCTCTAGAGCCTTCACAAGCTTCATTGCCCTTTTCTGGACACACTCCGGCACATCAATGTCTTCCTTGAAGGGAGGAGCCAAGAACTGGACGCAGCACTCAAGGTGTGGCCTCACCAATGCCAAGTACATGGGCACAATCACTGCTGGCAACATTATTGCTGATACAAGCCAGGATGCCATTGGCCTTCTTGGCAGCCTAGGCACACTAGTGTCTCATGTTCAGCTGGCTCTCAATCAACACCATCAGGTCCTTTTTCTCCAGGCAACTTTCCAGCCACTCTTCCCCCAGCCTGTAGCTCTGCATGGGATTGTTGTGACCCAAGTGCAGGACTTGGCAATTTGCTTTATTGAACCTCATACAGTTGGTATCGGCCCGTTAATCCAGCCTGTACAGATCGCTCTGCAGAACCTTCCTACCCTCCAGCAGATCAATCCTGCTGACCCGACCACGTAGTGTCGTCTGTGAACTGACTGAGAGTGCCTTTGATCCCCTTGACCCAATCATCAATAAAGATACTAAACAGGGCTGATCCCTGGAGGACACTACTAGTGACTGGCTGCCAACTGGGTGTTACACCATTCACCACCACTCTCTGGTCCTGGCCATCCAGCCAGTTTTCACCGCAACAGAGTGCCATGACCTGCCAGCTTCCCGAGAATAATGCTGTGGGAGACAGTATCAAAGGCTTTACTGAAGTCCATGTAGACTAGATTTACAGACTTTCCCTCTGACTGGAGATCCTATTGGCCTTTGAAAGTCTCATTTCTTTGCTGATCCAAAGAATCTGTGCTAGTGGAACATAGTGTCCAAAAAATATCCTCCCCTTTCGCACTGAGAACAAGTTGTAGTGCAGAGGATTTCAGAGAAGGTAATGTTATGTGTACAATTACTGCCCATAATTTATTGTGATGTTATCCACAAGCTCCATCACACTTGCCAACAGTGATACAATAGTTGTTTCTAAACGCTTTATTCTCAGACAGTCATGTTCTTTAAACCTTTTTGTCCACAGTCATGAGTACAGTCCCATATCTGCGTACAATGAACTATCTGTTTGGCAGCAGTATGCAAATTGCATCATTTAGCTTAGGATATTGGCCTCTCTTCCTCCTGTCTCATCACAAATTCTTAGATATCAGCCTAGATTCAGTTTGGTCTGAATTCTCCACTGAGGTAGATTATGATTTCTTTATGTCTCCAGAATATTAGTGTTCCCTGGGCCTTTTCTCTTGATGTTTCATAGATCTTTCTGAGTTCACTTTTAAAACCTTCATTGTTTTTCCTGTCACAATAGGAAAAAATGTGAGGTTTTTTGTAGCTCTCTGTCCATATAAGTACGTTTTTCTTCCAAATTCTTGGTGGATAAAAATCCAGTCCATGAAAAGTCCTTTTCCATCTTTGACTTCTGTAATTTTGCCCTTCTATCTGTTAACATGCTGCTCTGACCCTTTATCTTCTTATTTCCTGCAAGCTGTTCCTCCCTTTTTTATTTTTACACTATCAAGTGGCAAGCTTCTTGGGTTTATCTTCAAAGGTACTATTAACACTGCCTGTGTTGTTGTAACACGTTACATCCACCGCCTGGTGGATGAGGGGAAGGCTGTGGATGTACCTGGACTTCAGCAAGGCCTTTGACACCGTCTCCCACAGCATACTCCTGAAAAAGCTGGCAGCCCATGGCTTGGACAGGGGCACTCTCTGCTGGGTTAGGAACTGGCTGGATGGCCAGGCCCAGAGAGTGGTGGTGAATGGTGCTGCATCCAGTTAGCAGCCGGTCATTAATGGTGTCCCCCAGGAATCAGTGTTGGGCCCAGTTCTGTTTAATATCTTTATTGATGATCTGGATGAGGGGATTGAGTCCATCATCAGCAGATTTGCAGATGACACTAAACTGGGTGGAGTGTCGATCAGCCAGAAGGCAGGAGGGCTCTGCAGAGGGACCTGGATAAGTTGGAGAGTTGGGCCGATTCCAACGGAATGAGGTTCAACAAGGCCAAGTGCCGGGTCCTGCACTTTGGCCACAACAACCCCATGCAGTGCTACAGGCTGGGGACAGAGGGGCTGGAGAGCAGCCAGACAGAGAGGGACCTGGGAGTTTGGATTGACAAGAAGCTGAACATGAG